TGGATTGTAGCGCTGAATAAATTTGCCCCCATCCTTCCACACCCCTATTACCGTGGGTGTAAGTGCTGTAGTCAGCATACCAGCTAAAAACAAACCCCAATGTGTTGAGCCGGTGGTGGGCACTGGCCGTGAAGGGAAACGTTTGTCTCCTCGGGGGAAACAAGGGGAGGCCATTTCTGTGACAGGTGAATTTAGGACTGTTGTTTTGACAGACAGGACGACACTCCAGAGGCACAAAGTCCGTGAGCTGGAGCACATGACTATTTCAAATTACTTTCCTTAAAATGAGCTTCATGTTTTAAATAATAGATGTTTACCTCCCAGGTTAAACCTGAAATGTTCCAGTTTGCACTGAAATGGCATGTTTTTAAAAGGATGAGGCTTTACCCACAATCCCCAGCACATCAGAGGCTGCCTCTAACCAGGTCCTGGGGGAGTTTAAGTTGTCATTTCGAATCTTTGCCACACCGGTTAGAATTGCCTGTCCCCCACCATGTGGAGGGGTTCCGGTCAAAGACCCCACCGACATACTCCGCCATCAGTGTCACAAAACAGGATCCTGAGGGACAAAATCTGCCTCATTAACTGCTGCTCTTCAGATGACGTTTCGACAATGAGAACAGGGCTGGAGTCCAACACAGAATAAAGAGGTTTACCAAATCCATGGCTTGTGAGGGTTGGGCTCCTGCCCTCCCTCTAGAAAATCAGGGCCAGCCAGGCTGCAGGCTCTGCCCATCTCAACAGTTCTGACTGGGGGCAGTGGGCACGTGAGTGTGTGAGTGTGCACGTGAGCATGGCTCAGTGGATCCATGAGTGTGAGTGCGTGTGAGTGTACGTGTGAGTGTATGTGTGAGTGCACGTGGATATGAGTGTGTGAATGCGTGAGTGGATACATGTGTGTGTGTGTGCGTGTGAACGTGTGGATATATGAGTGTGCACATGAGTGTGTGAATGTGTGGATACACAAGTGTGTATATGTGAACATGTGAACATGTGTGAATGTGTGTGCATACATTTCAGACCCCTTGGCCTGTGTGTGCAGCATTGTTAACCCCCGTCTGCCGAGAGCCCTTTTCAGGCTCCCTTTGTGTCTTAGTACAGCTGCTCATGTGGCCCTCGGCGGCCCAGGCCAACATTGATGTTTAAATATTCATCAAAGCTGTAGGAGTGCTCTTGGAAGTCTGCAGCCACCAGACACTGTGACCCCACCACAAGCCACATTCTCAGATCGTGGAAATTCACTTGAAATGACGAATTCACTTGTTTCACGTCCTACAAGCAGAGTGTCCCTGAGGGCATCACATGGCTGCAGGGTGGTGCTCTGTGTCTGTGCCCGAGGGTCTCCAGTGTCCACTGCAGACTGGCCAGGTGATCCCACAGGTACCTGATACCTGAGCCATAATGAGGGCGGGGTGAATTATTCATCTCTGGAGTGGTCACTGGTTGTCAGGGTGCCACCATGCCCGGGGCCAGGTGTCCAGCTTCCATGGCCTGGTCTGACTGTGAATGTGCGCTGTCCTTATGGGGCTCCCTTTGAGGACTAAGCGGGTACTGATGTCCCCACCGCTTGATAAACCAAGTCTGACTGTGGAGGCTGGTCCATACGGGGCAAGCTGCATTTTGAGCAGCAGCATCTAAGATACTCTGGCCAGTGTAGATGGACTTGCCTTCTTATGTCTCAGATATGATGTCCCCAGTGTTAAGTCTGCAGAATCTCATGGCGGGCCATTTGGGGAGGAAGAGGCTGGGGATCTCAGAAAAACCTCCCTGTGTGATGAATTTGTGTGATGAGGACAGACAGACACATCCAGACTGATTTTTAAGCACAGCTCTCTGCTGTAGGATCTGTCTTCTGGCTTGTCGGGCATGCCATGATTTTCTTCACATGCACACAAACAGTTGCAGTGAATTCCACTCATGTCGACCCCACGTATGTCACAGTAGAACTGTGCTCCACAGGGTTTTCAATGATTGATTAGTTAGAAGTACAGCACCAGGCCTTTGTCTGAGGTGCCTGAGTGGGCTCGAACCTCCCACCTTTCTATTAGTAGCTGAGCATGTTCAGTGTCTGTACCTCCTAGTAGATTCCTGTTCCATCCACCTCCGCCTCAAATTGAGGGGCCACTCCAGGCAGTGTTGTTAGGGGCTGTCAGGTCAGTTCCGGCTCCTAAAGACCCAACGCTGCCCTGTGGAGTTCCCGGGTTCTCATCTTTACAGCAGCAGATGGCCAGGCCTTTTCTCTGTGGAGCCACAGAGCGGTCTGACCAGCTGACCTTTCAGTTAGAAGCTGAGTCTCCGGAGCCCTTCGAGGCTGTGGAGACCAGGCAGCCCCAACCTCCGGTTCAGTGGCTTCTTTGTCTGATGCCAGGTGGGCTCGTAATTGGATCCCGGGCCAGACTGTGTTTGAAGTCAGACCCTGACTGCTGCCTCTCATCTCCGTTGCACTGGAGAATCTCCCCCCCCCCAACTACCCACCTGGTCTGCAGAGGGGACGGCCACCTGGGAGGTCCAGCTAACCCTCCACCTCCTGACTCCATGTCCCCAGGCTGCCTTCCTTCATATTGGCCCTTTCAGACTTGAGTTGGCATTGGGTCTGAAAGTCAAGTGTTCTGTGGATGCCAAGGCCAGGGTTGGGGACAGTCATCCACATACTGACTCCTTTGAGGCTCTGAGCACGACTAGATCTTCCTTTCTTCTGAGAGAATACTTCAGTCACCAACACTGGCTTCATCACAGTTGAGGACCACAGATTCTTGGTCATTTCTGCTTTTACTGTGGCCTCTGCTTCTGCTTCTAAGAGCAGCCCCTCCTCACCTGGTGCCATCCCTCAAGTGCTGTCCCAGGGCATCCCAGCTAATGGTCTTATCTGCTGAGGGGGGTTAGCCAGGGACCCTTTGTGGACTGCACTGTGCTCAGTCTCTGTGAGCCGACTAACCCCTGGGGCCTCTGGGGTCTCCACCCTCCCCCATCCTCCCTCCCCCTCCCTCACCCGTCCAGCCTCCCCTTCCCCCTCCCCCTCCCTCACTGTCCACCCTCCCCCTCCCTCACCTATCCCCTCCTTCATTCTCCCCCTCCCCATCCCCTCCCTCACTCCTCTCCAGCCCCCTCCTCACTCCTCTGTCCTCCCCTTTTCTCACCCCCTCCCTCATTCCCCCTCCCCTTCCCAGTCTCTCTCCCTCACCCTTCTGTCTTCCCCCTCCGTTCCTCTTTCCCCCTCCTCCAGGCTGCCCATCCGAGGGCATGGTGGGAGGGTGAGTGCCCCTTCCTGTCCTGTCCACTCAGCTCCGAGGGCCTGTTCTCTGGTCTCAGCACCTGAACGGGACATGGCGCTGCACGGCCCCTGGTGCTGAGTGAGCATCTTCCCTGCTTGGTACAGCATTGTAGCATTCCGTGGGGAGGTAACTTGCTAAGGGTCCAGTGAGTTGACCAGTCAGGTGGTCACAGGGTCGCAGTCTGTCTGCTGTTCACCATTAAAGACGGTCCCATGAGAAGCAATGACCGAGGTACCCACGTTGCTCCCTTCACTCCACAGGGCAGAGGGACCAGGCTCCTGGCAGAATTGGCCTCTTTCAAATAGACTTGTTGGGTGGCTGTTATCAACAGTGGTGTCTCAGGTAAAGGGGATACTCTAGTGTGTGACTTGTGTTTGGTAAGAAGGACCAGTTGTGAGAGGTCCAAGAAAGGTCTTCGGGGATCAGCAGCGGTGGTTTCAAGGGGCCATGGTCTTCTAACAGGGAGGAGGACACGGTATAGCCTTGTGGGTCCTGGGGGCTGGGGTGTGAGCACGCACAGACACTGGCTGTTTGGTCAGGACTGGATTTGCACTGTGTTGCGGTTCCGTTTATCTGACGACTGCAGGAAGTGGGTCATTTCCTTCTGGGAGCAGTGGCTGATAGTAGGGGTGTGAACAACTCAGCAGCCCCTATGATGAGACCGCCTCTACACCATCACACACCTAGCCGTACCCACTTGTGTAGACACACCTGCACATGGTGGGGCAGGTGGTGACCCAGGGTGCAGAAAGGATGCGTTCCACTCGCTTTTCCTGTGGGGGCAGACAGTACAGGAATGGCATGGGGAGAGTACTGTTGTTGTTGGGGAGGGGTATGTGTGCATGCATGAGTGTATGCAAGTCTCTGTATGTGTCTGCGTGCATGCATATCTATGAGTGTGTGCATACAGGTATATGTGTGTACCTGTGGTCAGATATGTGGGCATTTATGAGTGAACGTGCATGTATGCACGTGCACATGTGTGAGGGTGTGCATATGTGTATTGTGCATGCACACGTGTGTGTGCACGTGTGTGGGTGTTCATGCATGTGTATGTGTGTGCACATATATGTTAGGGTGTTTGTGCGTGCATATATGTGCACAAGTGTGAGGGTGTGTGTGTGCAGTTACACATGGGAGGGTCTGCATGTGTGCACAGTGCATGTATGTATGCACACCTGAGGGTGTGTCTATATGTGTGCATGTGTGTACACACATGTGAGAGCTGTGTGTGCATGCATGCACGAACACAAATGTGTGTGTTTATACACATGAGGTTGTGCATGTGCATAGGTGTGCATGCATGTACTCGTACATGTGAGGGTATGTGCACACAGGTGTGTATGTATATAGTGCGAGGGTGTGCATGAGTGTAGTGCGTATGCATATTTGGGCATGTGTATGTGCACATGTTGACATGTGAGTGTGACTGTGTGCTTGTGCATACATTTGTGTGCATGTGTATGTTCACACCCAGACAACAGGCTTATTAGAAGCCTAACCCTAACCAAGTGCCTTTGAGGACAATGAGCTGTTTTCTGAGTGCATTGAAACACGCAACATCACGGTACAGAGAAATGACAGTGGCCCAGGGAGTGGGGTCCCTAACACTTTGCACCTGTCACAAGTTTTCCTTTTGAATTAGTGTCTCTGCTCATCAAAGTTTAATGGGTTCCCAGCAGCTGATGTGCACGGAGCTTTAGTGGGAATGTTCTGTTCTGTCGCCAGCTACACGGTTACTTGGAAAACGAGCCGCTCACACTCCAGCTCTTCATTGGTACAGCGGACGACCGCCTGCTGAGGCCCCACGCCTTCTACCAGGTCCACCGGATCACGGGGAAGACCGTCTCCACCACCAGCCATGAGACCATCCTGTCCAACACCAAAGTCCTGGAGATCCTTCTGCTGCCGGAGAACCACATGCGAGCCATGTAAGCCACATACCGCGTGCGCTCTGCCCTCCCGCCAGATTGCCTGCCTGCGGTGCCTCGGCGCAGTGCCCAAGTGAACGTCATGGGTTTCTGTGACAGGGGCTTATCTCTCCCTGGGGCTTCAGCCTCTTAGAAGACATGTCCCAGTCATACAGCTCCCACGAGCAGCCGACGACAGCTGTGTGTCCCCTGAACAGTGAACAACTTGCAGGCACCGCTGAGATGCAGACGGTGAAAGGTAGAGACCCCACGTGCTCTGTCAGAGCTACTGTGGTGGTATTGGACGTAGACGTCCCCAAATCCGTTACCATCGAGTTGATTCTGACCAAGAGTGACGTGTAGGAGAGAGCAGGGCTGGTCCCTAAGGGTCCTGAGGCATCCTTATAGAAGCAGACAGCTCCGTCTCTCTCCTGTGACACATCCAACGCCTAGCCCACTGAGCCACCGAGACCCCTGTTGGTTCTATTGTGACAGGCACAGTGACCATCCAGGGTTACTGATGTAGTCATGTGACCAGTTCAAAGGCGCAGAGATGTATCTGACTTGGCAGTGAGTTTATGGACGAACTGAAGACAGTCACGGACTGTCCAGATGGTGCCCATGTGCTGACAGGCCAGGGAGGCAAGGTGGTCAGCACATCACTGGCGGTCAGAGTTGAGGTGGACCGAACTGGAGGGCCCCACAAGCCCCTCTGATACCTTGTAACGCACACACATAGGAGCACTTTTCTCCTTTTTGGCTGCTCACGATTTTGGGAGACTCAGCACACCCCCATTCATCCCAGACCCTTGGGTCTGCACTGGCTGAGCCCCCCCAAGGCTGGTGTCCAGTCAGGGGTTTAGAGAGGACTCCCGTTCCTCTGGGTGGTGGCAGAGTTGTGACCCAAGCAGCCCACAGGTTCTCAGCCCGCGGAAGTTGGCTTCCGGGACAGGGAGGAACGAGGAGGGTGTGAGCTGTGAGTGGGGAACCCACCTGTCCCACTGAGCAGGTAATGGAGGCCTGGTGACCGGGTTCCACGCTGCTCCGGGAGGACCCTCGGACATGGGAGGTGGGTGTCTCTCATGTCCACTTCCGTGGCTGAAAGGAAGTGTCTGTCTCGGGCAGCATCGACTGTGCTGGCATCTTAAAGCTCAGAAACTCTGACATCGAGCTTCGAAAAGGAGAGACGGATATTGGGAGGAAGAACACACGTGTGAGGCTGGTCTTCCGAGTCCATATCCCACAGCCTGGTGGCCGGACCTTGTCCCTGCAGGTGGCATCCAACCCCATCGAATGTTGTGAGTACCTTGTTGCTGCCGCAGACATCTTCTGCCGTGGTAGCTGCGTCTACCATTGCATTTCCCCACAAGCCTTGGGAAACCCCTCATGTTTGGGCTGTTTCTTGAGAACAACTTTCAAAGATCCCAGGGTGAAGGATGGACATGCATCTTGGCTCCATTCGGGATAGTCCTTAAAATACAGATGGGGGCACGTCCTTCCTGCACAGCTGGCTGATACCCACCTGTGGTCCTCAGGAGTGGCACTGCGCCTAGGGCCAGTCCCCAGGTTGTACTCACACTGCTGTCCTCCCAGCTGGTCCCCACACTGCACTCATGCTGCCCCCTCCCTCCCCCACCCCCCCAGCCCAGAGATCTGCTCAGGAGCTGCCGCTGGTGGAGAAACAGAGCACAGATAGCTACCTGGTGGTGGGCGGCAGGAAGATGGTGCTCACAGGACACAACTTCATGCAGGATTCCAAAGTCATCTTCGTGGAGAAGGCACCCGGTGAGTCCTAGACCAACTTCTGTTGACTTGTTTCCGGGCGGTGGGAAGGCTCCTGGGGGCAGGGCTGGGATAAGTAATTGCAAACTTGGTGCCTGGAATCTGTCGATGGGGGCCTCCTGTTTCCACATGGGCCTGGCGCGGCGGTGGTCAGGGTCAACATGTTTCTGCTGTCCCCTGTCCGGTGGTACAGTAGGCACTAGCAGGGACCAGGAGGGGCCTGTGAGGCCATGTAGTTGCAGGTGTAGAGGGAAGGACTGTCCTCGCTCTAGCTATTTCCACCACTGGTCTGTGTTCACAGGAGCCCCGAGGTGTCTGGGGGACAGGCCTGGGCTGGCAGTGTCCTCGGAGTCATGGGCGTCCTACAGCCTGGCTAACTGATGGGGGTGCTCGTCTGGTTCATCTTAGGGAGCTGTTGGTCTTCTGGAAACCTCTCATGTCCGTTTCTGGAGTCCTTGCTGGCTCTTTCGTGTCCACATGGCTGCACCCTTATCTGGTGGTCCTGGGAGTCTCTGAACAGAGACAGGGTGGGGGGCTGAGGATACAGAGTCTGAGTGCCCAGATTTGTGCTTCAAGTACAAAGCAGTGAGCCAGGTAAACTGCCTGCTAGAGGGACCCACACCAGTGGACGCTGGCCAGCTTCCAGCAGACGCATGGATGTGCAAGCTGGCCCTCATGAGGTGGTCTTGTGCTCACACCAAGAGCAGACCTTCCCCAAACTGCCCCTCTGCCCTCGCTTTGCTTCCCTCGGGGGAGCCTCATGTACTGCCCTGTCCACTCCCAACAAGTTGGGGGACCTAGGAGGGAATTGCTGGGGCTTTCTTTTCCGGTTGACATTTTTCAGTCCCTAATCAGCCCGCTCCACTGAGGCGTCTAGCTCAGTGACGGGGCCTTAATTCTGTGCTATTTGCTGGAGACGAGGCACTTCAATCAAAAGAGGTGTAAACGCCCGTCCGTGAGTTGCCTCTACAATCAGGCACGTAATTGGGAGCTGTGCCTTAAATTGTAGAGAAGGTCAGGGGAGCATTTGCATAATTGGACACTCCTCTTTGAGAAGACTGATTTTGGGGTGGTTGAGCCTGCAGGGTTTGAAATGTGGTGTGTGGCAGGCAAGACTTGCGACCATAACTTTGTCTTTTTCACAAGGAGGCTCCCAGCAACTTTCTTGCTATTTGCCCCCCAAAGTCCAGGTGCCACACAGTGGACTTCTAGGACTGAGTTCCCTCTGGCCCTTGTGGGTGCAGAGCACTGGGCATGGGAAGGCTGCATCGTGAATGTCCGAATGCCACCCTGGCCAAGTCCTGTGCTGCCACGAGATGCTCTCCTGCCTTCCTCAGCTGACTGGATTCTCTCCCTGAGAGCTCAGCAGTCACCAGTGCCCTGGACACTTGCTCCGGCTGGCCGTCCTCTGGGCTGTTTGCCAGCTTGGCCGTCTTGCACTGGTCTGCCTTCCCCAGTCACCCGAGGGATCTCAACTGGGTCTGTGACCTGTGTTCTCTGGTGCCAACCCCATGCCTGGCATCCTGAAGGCAGGCAAATGAGCCTGTGTTGGTTTGGACACACCATCAGGGAAGACCAATCACTGGAGAAGGACATAATGTTTGGTAAAGTGGAAGGTCACCCAAAATCAGGGAAACCCTCTGTGATGGACACAGTAGCCAGAATTCAGACACGACAAAGATCACAAAGAGGGTGCAGGGTCAGGCCACATCTGATGGTGTGGTGCATAAGGTCGCCGTATGTCAGAACAACTCAGTGACCACTGACAACAACAACAACATGGTGAGACACTCCGTACGGCCATAGCTCACTAAGAACACATGCAAACGTCAGTTGCACGCTGCTGTCATTTGCTAGATGTTTGTAACTACGTGGTGACATTTAAATGAGATTATCTGCGTATTTGTGCACACACATGTATGCATGTGAGCATAACGCTTTCAAAAGGCTTCCCGGCCGGCTGATGGCATTACCCACTCTGCACCCACGCCTCACCTCTGAGGAGGGGCTCTTCCCGATGAGTCCCTGGAAAAACCCAGCTACATTTAAATTAGAAACACAGTTACTTGCTCCTCTTCCAACAGTCATCTGGGAGGTTTTAAATGTTTGTTTTCAAACCACTGCTTGCAGACAGAACAAGGCAGGTATTTCTGTCCAATGAAAGGATTGTTTTTAAGGAAGTTATTAAACCCTGGTGATGAAAATGGGCTTTCGAAGGAGGCTGCTACTTCTGGGTTCCAGTGTTTCCACCGGGTCCAGAAGCAGCAGGAGGTGGTGGTTTTGGTGTTCAGGTGCCATACGGTTGATTCTAGCGTGTAGCAACCGTGTGTCCAACACTGCCCACTCCTGCTTGGTCTTCACCTCTGTTACATCTGAGCCCATCATGGCTGCTACGGTGTCGTTTCGTCTCCTTAGGGGTCTTCCTCTTTTTCACCGACCCTTCACTTTACCAAGCATGATGTCCTTCTCCAGGAACTGGTCCCTTCTGACAGCATGACCAAAGTAAGACAGACGAGGTCTCCCCATCATGGCTTCTAAGGAACATTCTAGCTTACTTCTCTCAGCTCAGCTCTGTCTGTTCTTCTGGAAGTCTGTGGTATATTCTATCGTTTGCAACAACACCATAATTTAAATGCGTTGATCCTTCCCTGGTCTTCCTTATTTATTGTCTAACTTTCACACACATATGTTCTTGTTGTTAAGTGCCGCCAAGTTGGTTCCGACTCATAGTGACCCTGTATAGGAGTTCTGAGGAGCAGCTGGTGGGTCTGAACTGCTGACACTGTGGTTCGCAGTCCAATGCTGATCCTACAACGCTACAACTACAACATAGAAGACGGTTGAAAAGACCGTGGCTTGGGTCAGACACACCTTAGTCCTTAAAGTGGTATCTTTGCTCTTTAACACTTTAAAAAGGTCTTTTGCAGCAGGTTTACCTAATACCACACTTTGTTTGATTTCTTGGTTGCTACTTCCTTAAAATTGATTATGGATCCAAGAAAAATGAAGTCTCCAACAACTTCAATCTTTGCTTCATTTATCAGGATGTTATTTATTGAGCTAGTTGTGAGGATTTTTGTTTTCTTTTTATTGAGGTGCGATCCATACTGTGGTCTTTAATCTTCATCAGCAAATGTTTTAAGTCCTCTTAGCTTTCATCAAGCAAGGTTGTGTCATCTTCATATTGCAGGTTGTTAGTGAGTCTCCCTTCAGTCCTGTCTCATGCTCTTCATATAATCCTGCTTCTTGGATTATTTGCTCAACATTTAGATTGAATAAATATGATGAAATGATATAACCCTGACACGTAGCTTTCCTGATGTTAAACCATTCCTTGGTGTCCCCCTTGTTCTGTTCTAACAGCTGCCTCTATATACAGGTTCCTCATGAGCACGGTGAAGTGTCCCGGAATTCCTACTCATCACAATCCATAGTTTGTTAGGATACACACAGTCTAATGGCTTTGTGTCGTCAATAAAGCACAAGTAAACATCTTTCTGTGATTCTGTGCTTTCAGGGAAGATCCAGTTGATGTCAGCAATGATATCCCTCATTCCATGTCCTCTTCTGAATCTGGCTTGAATTTCTGGTGGTTCCCTCCTGATGTGCTCCTACAATGATTTTTGAATTCTCTTCAGCAAAAAATTTCCTTGCATGAGATACTGATATTGTTTGATGATTTCTGGATTCCACTGGGTCACCTCTCTTTGGAACGGGCACAAATATGGGTCTCTTCCAACTGGTTGGCCAGGGACCCGTCTTCCAGATCTCTTGGCGTAGAGGAGTGAGTGTGCCTTCAATGCTGCATCCATTTGTTGAAACATTTCCTTGTTTTTTTTTACCAGCGTGTACTTCTTCCTTCAAAACCAGTTCCTCATCACATGCTACTTCTTTTTTTTTTTTTGCCTCCCCCCACGGTATCGCCTTTTATTCTCCCTGCCCCTTATTCTGAAACTGTTTCTTATAAGTTGAGTGAAGTTTTACATTGATCAAATCCTACCATTGGCTTCATCTTAATGATTACTGCCTCGTCAGTGATCCAATTCATCCCTGTGGTTCTTAGCCCCATTAGCTTCTCTTTACCAACCCTTCTGAACTTTGTCCTTAGGTCAACGCATATGCGACTTCTTGAAACGATTGAATGTCAACCAATTCTTTTTGGTACAGTGATTTCCTCTTTTGATGGTTCCTGTATCGTTCAATATTTTCCCCACTTGTTCTGTGCTGTTGAGTCAGTTCCGACTCATGGCAACCCTGTATAGCATTTCTGAGGAGCAGCTGGTGAGTTGGAACTGGCGACCTTGTGGCTAGCAGTCCAGTGCTATTCTAAGGCTCCACACCAGGACTCATTTTTTCCATTTGTTGTTGGTGTTAAGTGCCATCGAGTCAGTTCCGACCCATAGCGATCCTGTATAGGGTTTCCAAGGAGTGGCTGGTGTGTTTGAACTGCTGATCTTGTGGTTGAGCGTTTACCCTACAGCGCCACACGAGGACTCCTTCAGTATTTTAATTTGAGGCTTTAGAAATTCTAAGCATGTTCTTCACTATCTTACTTGACTTTGTCTTCTCGAGCCGCCCTGTGAGATTTTCTGTTCAGCTCTTTGACTTCCTCTTTCTACCAGTCACGTTAGCGTCTTTTCATTCAAGAGCAAGTTTCAGAGTGTCTTCTGACATCTATTTTGGTCTTTTCTTTCTTTCCTGTCTTTTAAATGACCTTTTGCTTTCTTCATGCATGATGTTCTTGATGTCATCCCACAAATCCTCGGTCATTAGTGTCCAGTGCATCAAATCTGTACTTGAGATGGTCTCTGTATTCAGGTGGAATAGACTCAAGGCCATATTTTGGCTCTCGTGGACTTGTTTTAATTTTCTTCAGCTTCAACCTGAACTTGCATAGGAGCAAATGATAAGTCTCTTCCACAGTCAACTACTGACCTTGTTTTGACTCATGATCTTGAACTTCTCTACTGTCTCTTTCCACAGATGTAGTTGATTTGATTCCT